TTGCTGGGTCCCACTGCCAGAGTTTCTAATTCAGTGGTCTGGGCTGCGGCCTGGAAATTTGCATTTCTAATAAGCTTTCAGGTGATGTTAATACTGCTGGTCCAGGAAGCACACTTTGAGAACCACCGGTATAAGTAATTAGGAGTTTGGCTCTGATACTTACCAGCTGTGTAACCTTATACCCATCAACCTCTTTCTGTCTCAGTTTTGTTTTTCATTTGTTAAAAATGGGAACAATAATAGTACCCACCTCACACAGCTACTATGAGAATGAAATGAGTTAATACATGTAAAGTGCATATAGGAAGTGCTCAGTAAATGTCAGTTCAGTAAGTGTTATCATATTTTAAAAGCCTCATCCCCTTTGACCCAGAAATTCCATATCTAAGTACCTGTCATAGAGAAATATTTACATTATGACTTAGATAAAATAATTAAATTTATCGAAAAATACAACTTAACAGGACTGACTAAAGAAAAAAAGAAAATCTGTGGAGCCCTATATCCTTTAAAGGAATCAAACTTATAATTAAAATGTTTCTCACAAAAAAACACCAGAAGCAGAAGGTCTCACTGGTTGTATTCTACCAAATACGTGAGGAGGACATAGTACAAATATTGCACAAAATCTTTTGGATAACAGAAGAAAGAACATTTCCCAAACCATTTTATAAGTCCAGCATAACCCTGCTACCAAACCTGACAAGGACATTTCAAGAAAAGAAAATTAGAGACCAATATCTTTCAGGAAAACCAAACCAAAAAAACCAAACCCATTGTCGTTGAGTCGATTCTGACTCATAGCGACCCTATAGGACAGAGTAGAACTGCCCCATAGAGTTTCCAAGGAGCATCTGGTGGATTTGAACCGCCAACCCTTTGGTTAGCAGCTGTAGCACTTAACCACCACACCACCAGGGTTTCCTCTTTCAGGAAAGGAGATGCAAAAATCTTTAACAAAATATTAACAAATCAAATCCAGCAAATTATAAAAATGATAATACTTCGTGGCCCAAATCTATATTGGAATCCTATGGCTGCTATAACAAATCATTAAAAACTTAGTGGCTTAAAATGAGAGGAATTTATTCTCTCACAACTCTGGAAGCCAGAAGTCCAAAATCAAGGGCCTCACTCCCTCCAGAGGCTCTAGGGGAGAATCTGTTTCTTGCCTCTTCCAGCTTCTGATGGCTGCTGGCATTTCTTGGCTTGTGGCCACATCACTCCAGTCTCTTATCTCTGTCTTCACATTGCCTTCTCCTATGTGTTTATCTCAGGAATAAAGGCTGTTTTAGCATTCAAAAATCAATCAATGTAATTCATCACGTTCACAATATAAAGGAGAAAAATCATATGATTATCTTATATGCAGAAAAAAACATTTAACAAAATTTAGCACCTATTCATGATTAAATCTCTAGGCAAAATAGGAATAGGAGGAAACTTCCTCAATTTGATAAAAGGCATCTATGAAAAACTTTTATCTAACATTATGTTTAATTGTGAAATATTGAATGCTTTCCCTCTAAGATGGAAAACACTGTACGGCATTTAATTATACTGGTTCTATTCAACATTGTATTGAAAGACCTAGCCCATACATTAGGAAAGAAATAGAAATAAAAGTCATATGGCGCCCTGGTGGCTTAACCATTTGTGCCACACAGGGATTCCAAATCAGTATACAGTGAGAGAAATCAGACCAGTGGTTGCCTCTGTGGATATGTGGGGTATTGACTGGACAGAAGCATGAGGGAACTTTCTGGAGTGATGGAAATGTTCTATTTCTTCACTTGGATTTTGGTTACATGGATGTATACATTTGTTAAAACTCTTCAAATTGTACACTTAAGATCTGCGCATTTTACTGTTGATAACGTATGTCAATAAAAGAAAAAGAAAAATTCAATCATACATATATAACTGAAACATGGCATCTTCACTTGAATTCAGATGATTGCACAATCAAATCTGGCATCAATTTGAAAACTTATGGCCTACAGGTTTTAATTAATTTAGGTTACAGTCATGCAACCAAAAGGGAAAGCTCAATACATAATAGTGTTTTCTAGGAGAACCCAGTGTCTTACTCATCTAGTGCTGCTATAATAGAAATACCACAAGTGGATGGCTTTAACAAACAGAAATTTATTTTCTCACAGTTTAGGAGGCTACAAGTCCAAATTCAGAGTGCTGGCCCAGGAGAAGGCTTTCTCTGTCAGCTCTGGAAGAAGGTCCTTGTGTCTTCAGCTTCTGCTTCCTGGTTCCGTGGAGATGTCCGTGTGTCTTGGCATCTATATTACCCCATCTCTCTCTCTGCTGGTTTGTTAAATCTCTTTTTATATCTGAAAAGAGATTAATTCAAGATACATCCTGCACTAATCCTGCCTCATTAACATAACAAAGACAACCTATTCCCAAATGGGATTATAACCACAGGCATAGAGGTTAGGATTTACAACACATATATTTGGGGGACACAATTCAATCCATAACACCCAGGAATTTTAAAACGTGGTCTTCCCAGGACTAACCAATGCACAAAAGAGAATGTATGCAAAGGATAAGACCAGAGGAAGGCAAAGGTCTGAAAGGTTTAGTTTGTCTTCTGAATCCTGTCTACCTCTGACATGCTCCCTGTGAATTGAATCTATTCAGTCCATCTCTACCATCACAAGAGAGATCTTTATGATGTATATTGAAACTGACTTGTGGGATCTCTCCAGAGTCATTTTCAGCCTTTCCCCAGTCCCTGTCCTCCCCGACAAACACGCATGCACACAAACATCGTTCTCAGCTTTTTGTTATTCACAACATACACCAAACCCTTTCGTGTTTCTTCTTCTGCCTGGAATCCTTCCCCTCCGGTTCACCCTGTCAAATATTCATTCTTTGACACTAGCTGTCCCACTCCTCCACACCTCTTCTATAGTCCTTATCACACTGTATTGATACCTATGGTTAGGTTTGTCACCTGTTATGAATTATGTCCCCCCAAAATGTGCTGTAAATCCTAACCTCTATGCCTGTGGTTATAATCCCATTTGGGAATGGGCTGTCTTTGTTAACGAGGCAGGATGAGTATAGGGTGTATCTTGAGTCAATCTCTTTTGAGACATAAAAGAGAGAAATGAGCAGAGAGACAAGAGCACCTCATACCACCAAGAAAGCAGTGCCACACCCGGGGTTCCTGCACTGAGAAGCTCCTAAACAAGGAGAAGATTGATGACAAGGACCTTTCCCGAGAACTGAGAGACCAAAAGCCTTCCCCTGGAGCCAGCACCCTGAATTTGGACTTTGAGCTTCCTAAACTGTGAGAAAATAAATATGTCTTTGTTACAGCCATCTGCTTGTGGTATTTCTGTTATAGCAGCACTAGATAACCAAGATATCACCTTTCAACTCTAGTCAGGAATGTATTAAGACCTGAAATATCTTATACACACTAGCATCTCTAATTGCCCAGCACAGTACTTGGTTCACAGTAGGTGCTTAACAAAAAAGTCTGAGCAGCAAAGAAGGAACGTGCTAAATAGATGTATTTAAATGTTTTAAGTGAATATTTTCATTCCTTTCCCCTATATTGCGTTCTCTCATGTAGATAAAATGAACAGTTTCCCATTAGGTCTGCATGTGGCTTGTCCAAGCTGGCTTCCTACTGCCTACTAGATAAAATGATGCTATGTGAAGCTTTACTATGCCTACATCTGGACAGCCAAAAGAAAGATGGCTTCTAAAGGTTAGCGAAAGTGTCTAACTTTGCACATTTTTTAATTGAAATGTAATTTAAATAGTTTGTTCCTTTGGGTGATATTCTATTATGACCTTGCAGCCAAAAATATAAGGAATGAACCTATTTTAAGAAAGTGATGACTATTACTGCTGGTATTTTCACTATTCATGAACAAAATCATGTTCAACCCTCTTCATATATAAACACGGCATACTTTATCATCCAGGAATTCTATGCCAGTGTACAAAGGTGATGCTATCGACTTGTCATATTAAACACCTGCTCTATTAGGCATCATGCAAGGTGTGGGAGCACAGAGGGGAATAAGACCCAGGCCCTGCCCACAAGGAACTTACAGTTAGCTAGGGAAATAGACATACACTTTGTTTTTCCGGGAGTGGTAAAGGGTTGTTCAGGCATCCACTTTCTCTTACCCAGATGGCTCGTTAGAAAAGCAGCTGCGGTCAAAGAACAGTTTTCCTAGAGAAGGCTTATCCTACAAATAGTACAACACTGAATATACAGTCAGTGCCAACCAGTGAAGTCTAATTTTTATTTAAAAAATGTTTCCCCCAGTGTCATAACAGTATGTGTACTACTGTTTCATGAGAAACTATTTGTTCTGTAAGCCTTCACCTGAAGTACAATAAAAAAAAAAGATATTAAAAAAAAAAAGTTTCCCTCAGAGCTGTTAAAAAACCTATAATTTTACTTACGAGATTTTTGCTTCTGTGGTTTTGTGACATCATAAGTGTTCTGAATAAAATAATTTACTGCAACTCACAAACAGACTTCATACTCTCTGCAGCATAAGTGTACTCTTAAAAGCTTCTAGGCACACAGATAAAACTGTAACACTAAAAACTTATTACAAGAGTTTTTCTGTATTTAAAATACGCATTACAACATGGATTTTAAAAACATTATGCTGAGTGAAATAAGTTAGTCACAAAAGGACAAATTGTATGATCCCACTTATATGAAATAGGCAAATGTATGGAAACCAAAGTTTATCAGTGGTTACCAGGGCCGGGGAGAGAGGGGAAGAAGGGGAGTCAATGCATAGAGAGGGCACTGAGTTTCTGTTAATGGTGGTAGAATAGTTTGGAAAAGAACAGAGGTGATGGTTTCATAACATGATGAGCGTAATCAATGTCACTGAACTGTATGTGTAAAAATTGTTGACTTGGCAAATGTTTTGTGATATGAATTTTTACCACAGTGATAAAACCAAAAAACAATTCACACAGAAACAAAGTCAATTAAATTTTATTACAACCAAGAATATAAAATAAATGCAATGTAATTTATTTTAGTTTTAACAGTCATTTCAAAAAGGATAGGACAACTCAGAAGCAGGGAACACTCAGCTGCAAAGAGCAGCTTGCCCTGCACCCCCGTGGGGTGGGCCTCCCTGGTTGCAGCCGGCTCGAGCATACACCTCACAGTGGAGCGTGGGGAAGCATACACAGTCATCTATATCATCATAGGAAGGGGGATGCGTGCATAAAATTACTGAAAAAGGAGACAAAGACAGGTACACTTCACAACAGGAATTATGGGAGATACAAACTAGGGCAGTTTAGAAAGGATATACTACATAACATATATAAAAAGTACTCTAAATTGTTGTTAAAAAGGACATCTTCAGTCCAGATTTTGTGTAATACTTTTAGTGTCTACACAGACAAATCTTTAAAAAAATTAAATAGTATTAATTTACTAAATATTTAGGAGATAACAGTGCATTAAGGATTTTTTTTCATATAATACATACATATCACCCCTCTGCAGTGATAGCATAGAAGAGTAAGTATGGCCTTAGGTACAACACATTTTTTAAAAATCCTAAAACAATGAACTTTGCTTTCTGGTATTTGTGACTATTCTTGAAGATTATGGGGACCTATACTGCTATGTTTTATATAAAATATAGCTTGTACTTGAATCCTTCAAGCCTCCTTTAATTTAACTGCCATGTTGCTGTCTTTTCCATTTCCTAGGAAGATATCACAGAGTTTAAGATTTTCAATTTTTATAGAATTCTTCCTTCACTGTATAGTTTCTGCTACATAAATTTATTCAAAGCAGATCAAGCTGTGCTTTTATTCTTCAACTGTTTTTTCTTTCTTTCTTTACCTTTAGCAGAGAAAACGGCATCATTTTAGAGGCATACAGCTAGCAGTTGCTTCTCCACAAATGAGGCAGTGAACATGTAGTAAAAGTCATCCCTTCCATTCTTAAGAGTAAATTATTTTTTGTAAGAGCAAAAGAGTAGTGCTGAAGGACAACATTCTAAGTACTAAAGTTTCAAAACCACACAGATATAAAAGTATATACGTCCTTGGTTTTTGTATGTTACTGCATGATCTCCTTCATCACAAGGATTGTTTTCAGCCTCATAGTACCAGCCTGCTGCCAAGGCTACCTTAGCCTTAAGCTCATCTGTCTTGAAACTTTAAAATCCATTTTTCCAAACACACATCTCCCTACGAAGCTAACTCTAAAACTGAGTTGTAATATTGAGAGCAGAAAGCCTTCACTTTGATTCAATCCTTCCTTTCCATTGCCTCCTCTGATTTGGGTATTCCCACAAGCTGAGAGATGTGTTCCTCCATTGAAGAGTGGCCCTAGGCCGTATGTCCTCAGGGGACATGACTGCATCTAATAAATGTTCAAAGAGGAATCGATAATTTTGGGATCACAAAGGTAAATTTTAACCTCAAATCTTCACAGGTCTCCTCAGAGGTCCAACAGTTTTAGGGCTCTCATGTGTGTTAGAGGCTTTGTTCCCCTTTATGGGGAAAAGGAAATTATAAACCAAAATTATTTCAAAGAGTAATGGGTACCAGTGGGCATCACCAACCCTGAGGAAAAAAACGAAGAGGAAGGGCTACTATCAGGCCAGTGACAAGAGACCCATTCGTTGATCATGGGGATTTCTGGCTACATCCTGGAGAACACTGTGCACTGAGAGGAAGCGACAAAATCCCCCTACAGTTTATACATCAGTTCTGCCGGTAAAATTCATTATATACAAGGAAAGCAGGGTAGTTTTGTAAATGTATAAGCACATGTCCTAAGAATTAGCCCAGTGACCAGAGACCCATTTGTTGGTCATGGGGATTTCTGGCTACACCCTGGAGAACACTGTGTACTGACAGGAAGTGATGAAATCCCCCTACGGTTTATCCATCAGTTCTGCCAGTAAAATTCATTATATACAAGGAAAGCAGGGTAGTCTTGTGAATGTATAAGCACATGTCACAAGAACTGTATATCAAAGTTGTTTACAAAGTATTAAGAGGCATGGTATTTTGATTTATGTACATACTTGGGTTTGTTCTCTTTTATTAAATGTATGCTCCCCTTGAGGACAGGAACGGAGCTTCTGTTTTCACTGTAATTTCTTACACTTGGTAGACTGTGTTCTGCCTACAAGGACCACCCAACTGCTGTTGAAAAGCTGCTGTGAAGATTTAAAATATACACTAATGCCTTTTATGATATTTAATCTCTGACTTTCCTTAAGGTGGACTGATATAGAAACCTCTCCATAACACTGTTTACTATAGAGCAGAATTTAGAATAACTCTATCCAAGTAGGGTTAGAAGTAAACTAAAGAACCTTCATATCACAAGATGGTTTCATATATAAGCCCAACTCATGGCACAGACATCCCAGGGGAGCTTAATTTACTGTCACTAAACTGACCATCAGCTCCCCAAGGACGGAAAGTATGTCTTGCCCTTCCTTTGTGTCCTCCACCGGTCTGGTGCGGGGCACATGGAGAGGGTACAGAGAGCATCTGCTGACTGACAGCTCTGGACAGTGAGGCTTCAGGGTACACTTTATACAGGTAGCTGCATTATACAGAAGGCTATTGATTTCTTAATTTTAAAAAACAGAAGGGATAAGCTACCATGGAGACAATCCAAAATTCCTTCCAATGGAGCATGTCAACTGCTTCACCTTCATTCTTGATGAGTGTCACTACACAGTCCTTATTATCAATAAGCATTATTATGCTGAGATCAGTAAGGTCCTTGCTGGCTATGGTATCACATCAATAGTGCAAAATGTATACTGGCTTCTGTCTAAAATCTTATTTTACTTGTGTATGGACCCAGAGTATCATTAACCAGGTAGATAAGTTCACAAAGAATAGTAAAAAAGATGCATATAATTTGCATATACAACATCAGCTATTTCTTCTAGCTCAAGAAAAAAACAATGTTTAAAACAAGGCTGGTGCTGCTAGTAGCATTCAGAAAGAAGAACACAAATTTCTTGGCTCTTACGTTACAGTGGGAGCTCTAAGTCTTTACATTACCTTCTCACTCTAGGGAGTAAGAGACTCCCTAAACTGGCTAAGAATGAACTCAGCCTCTAATTCATAGATAATGGAAATGCAAATATTCCTTTTATCTAGTATAGTCTTATACTATCTGCCCATAGTTTTTAGGCACAATTATTAAGTTTTCTCCTAGGGGCAAAAGAAAGCATTCAGTGCAATGAAAAGATTCTCGATAGAATTAAGTTTCAATAACAACAGCAAAATTATGCATACACAATACATACTTTAAACATGAATAAAACCTAAATTTTTAACATGCTTTAAAAATAGTCACTCTATGTCTAATGCAAATATGAATGGATAACACTGCCTCTTTAAAAGCAGATTAATTTGCAGGCTTCTATTTGAGTACCTTGATTATTTAAGAAAGTTACTCAAGCTGACCCAGAGGTGAAGAAACTGACAGTTCTTTAGAGAAGCCAACTTTATGTACAATACACACAAAACGCTTTTCCTTCAAAGGTAAGTAATACATCCTTTAATCAACATTACTCCTTAAAGAAATCCTAGTGCAGTTAAATATTCTCTTGCAGCTTTCTGGTCAAGGTCACCAGAGGACTGTATTTCATCAAAGCTCTTGAAACCCTTTTTAAGGTAGACTTCGCTATATGAAGGTTAAAAATTACAATTCTTAATTACTGAATCCATTTCAGAATAAGATGATGATTCTCGGAACTAAGTTCCATGAGTGATTATATAAAAATTATAACATACTTCAGTTCTTCATAGCATAAAGCATAGTAACTGCAAAGATCTAAGCTGTTTTTGGTTGGAAGTTCCCTCTGTCCCACTTCCTGTCTTTTTATTAGACCTTCCCTGAAACTAGATAAATAAAAACACAACAGTGAAGTACGTTGGGACAGTTACAGTTTAAGACTTTCATGAGCAAAACAGTTATATCCTTGAAAACAACGTAGTGCTTCAAAAGGTGCATTTTTACCTGTGTTGCTAAAACAGTTCATGTAGTATAAAATTATACACCACTGGAGTCCTGTTTCTAAAACATTAAAATCCTATTAAAAGAGCTTTGAAAAGATAAATCATAGTGATTGCTACAGCATGAGAAAGGTGCACCAGGAAATCCTTCAAAAAAATGCTGAAGGTTACAGAAGTTAAGTGCTGGGATTAGATCAGATGCTTTATCTGCAAAATCACAATGGAACACATGCAGGGGAAGGATGTTGGGAAACTTCACGAGAATCTTCTTTAACTTGATAAAGAAGAGGTATCAGACCTGCAAAATGTTCAGTATATAAAGTTCTCCTAAACGTGTGAGTTTTAAACCGGCATCAGAGCTGGCATTTTTGGTTCTTTTCAACGCAGACATCGTATTGCTGAGTCTGTGCTCTGGGGCTGAACTGGCCGAGCGGAGGGGCTGCGCTGCTCAGTACCGGTGCCCCTGGTGAGATGGGTGGTACTGCGCACTCTGCTGAGCCGAGGAGGAGTAGCCTAGTGTGCTCTGGGACTGAGAGGATCCCTGAACGCTGCTTTGGTAATTCAGGCGTGAAGTGGAGTGCTAGGAAAAGGAAACAGGAAAAGGAAATTACTGATGGAAGAAGAAAATGGCTCAAGGTGTGAATTGTAATAAACAGTTGCCATGGAGTCAACAACCCCATGTGTGTCAGAGTACAACTGCACTCCACGGAGTTTTCAATGGCTGATTTTTTAGAAGTAGATCACTAGGACTTTCTTCTGAGGTTCCTCAGGGTAGACTTGAACTTCCAACCTTCTGGTTAGCAGGGACTCCGTTAATCACAATAGGACAGAGAAATGAGCCATTTTCATCATTAGGCTCCTGGTTTAGATCCACGGTAGGTAGCTGACTCAGCTTGTTAACACATTTTGTTTATTTGAAATCACAGCCTGTAACCACACGTTCTAACAGGCACCAGGTTTGGCTGGATTTCTTTGGGAGATAAGCTACACTGGTAAAGAGCTACACTGGTAAAGAGCTACACTGCTGACTCATTGCTCTTTATCCTGACTGATTCTGGGGTGTAGTTTATCCCTTTGCATAAATGAGATCTGCAAACAAAAATAACCAATTTGGCATATTGAATCAATGGTATTTTTAATGTATACAGATATGCTGTTAATGCTCTCATAAATGATACAAAGCTGTGATATAGAAATTATTATCTTTAGAGAAAAGCATTTTCAGAGGTAGGGGCAGTGTCAGCAGCAGGATCACCTACAAGACAAAGTAAGGCAAGGTCAGGCGGGAGGGGCAGCACTAAGTGAGTTTTATAAACGTCAGGTATTTAGAACAAAACAGTTTCAAAGATGACTGTCCTCAAGAGAAGACAGATAAATGTATTTCAATTCAATACTTTGATATTTAATATTAATGCAATTATTACTTTTTTAAAGGAAACATTCATCCTCATGGCACCTAAGTTAAATATGAAAAAAAATGTTAAAAAAAAGATTCACCTATAGAATAAGAACATGGTGTCTGGTTAAATATAAGCATAGCTGGAGCTAGTGTCTTTGGTGATGCTCAGAAGGTTGGTTTCTTTCTGTGAGCAAAGTGGGAAAGAATATGCATAATTATAAGTTATTACTAGAAGTTAAAAATGCAAATGGCCTCAAGGTGGAACTGGAGGGTTAAGGAAGGATGAGTAAGTAAGGTCCCCTCCTCAGGGTGTAAAGGCTGCCAAACTGGACTTGCAACATGTGGTCCAAAACAAACAGTGCAATAAAATAGTCCTAAATTACACAACTCTGACAAGTTGTGTTGGTGAAGAAGCCTTTCAAAAATCCAAATTTTAACTATGCTTTATTTTGTCATTTGTAGTTTGAAAGCATTAGTGGCAATTTTGCTGGTAAACTAAAACACAGACATATAAGAATCTAATGTGTTATCATGTATCTCTTTTAATAAGTTTTTTTAAGACAGAAAAAAATGTCAACATTGTCATTTTAAAAGTACTAATAATACTTGCTTATAATTTACTGATGAAGCACTAATGGAACCCACTGAAAATATGATAAAGGTTTTCCTTAATAGAAAAGTCTGGCCTTGAATAAATTGAGATAAAAGTAATTCAGACAGAATCAAACGCAAGAAAATAAAATATCACATTAGCCTTTCTTAGACATTACAAAAGATGGCTATTAATTTTTCATTTAAAAAAGTGTTTATGATGAAACTTGAATCCAGATACAAAGATGTTTTATTCCTGAAAAGGCCTAAAACTGTAAAATGTGAGGAAACAAGATAATTATAAGATTAGTGTCCTATAATTGTTAGGCTATGATTACTTTAACAGATGAGATTAAGCAAACAATAGGTCTTCCATTTGAGAAACCATTTTCATTCTCCCAGAATCCAGATTTGTGAGTTCATGGAGTTGCGGTGACCCACCCAGGCCATTTGCCCTTAGGTGTCCTTTTGAACCTTTAAGGAACTAGTTTTCCTGGAGTCACCTTCAGGTCAAACAACAGCCTAGTAAGCAGCTTACAGGAGACCATTTTGCCTTGGTAGTATTAGAATAATTATCTAAATTATCTATGTGCAGTCAGTTTGGAGAAACAGGAACTCCAGGGTTTTAGGGTATATTGCATGTCCTTAATAACTCTGTTTTTACAACTGACTGAACCTGAATCCCTGCTTGCTCTGACATTATCTCCTGAGAAACCAACATGAAAGGAATTTACAATGACCTTCAGGAGACTACCCTGCCCGGACCAGCCTATATAACTTGTCTTCACTATCCCTTCTTTGGAGCACCTTCCCAATACTTTCAGTCTGATGCAGATTCAAATAGTATCTACTCACAATAAATATATTCTGTTACACTAATTTCTGGTGTTCCTCTGCACCTTTAGATTTTTAACACATACCAGATAAAGAACAGATTGATAATGTAAGAGTTGCAAACCATGTGCAATAAGGCTCTCTCCACTCCATGCCATGGTAGTTTCTCCAACTTGTTGAAGAAGAAAATTAATAACAGACATCTTACTTTGATTTTAAGGTTTTTCTTATCCACAAAACCAAATATTAACCTAAAAAGCCTGACCCAAATTGCCAAAGCACTGATTTGGTTTCTGCCAGAAGCTGCTCTAAAGCAATGTAAATTGTCTTTTCCAGCTGGAAAAGGCAGTCAAAACAAAACCATTACCTCCTGACTTAATGAAAAAGACTCTAAACAAACAAAACCCAAACCCGTTGCCGTTGTATCGATTCCGACTCATAGCGACCCTATAGGACGGAGTAGAAATGCTCCATAGGATTTCCAAGGAGCGGCTGGTGGATTCGAACTGAGCACTTTTGGTTAGCAGCTGAGCTCTTAACCACCGTGCCACCAGGGCTCCTAAAATGACTCTAGGCTCTCCTAATTTAAATCTCAAAAAAGTATGGTTGCAGGTGGTGGAGGGCCAGAGATCACACTGTGACCTGATATCAGATGATCTTAGTAGGAGGGAAGGTTCAATAAATCATGTTAAGATTAGCCAACGGCTGATCTTCTATTCTTCTCCCACCTCTTCTAAAGCCTCTCTGTAACTAGCCTACTTCAGGCCATTTGCTTTTTTTTGGAATCAGAATGGTCTCCCTATATGCATATAGATTAAGTGCCCAGAATAAACCTTATGTTTCAATTTCTTTGAGTTTTGATTATTTTTAACAAACTAAAACCAGTTGCCTTTGAATCAGCTTTGACTTACGGTGACCCCATGTGTATCAGAGTAGAACTGTGCTCCATAGGGTTTTCAATGGCTGACTTTTGGGAAGTAGATTGCCAGGACTTTCTTCCAAGGCATCTCTGGGTAGACCTGAACCTCTAACCTTTTGGTTAAGCAGCCAAGTACCATCCAGGGACTCCCATTTCATAGATATACTCTAAGGTTTATTTTTAAGTAGGTAGCATAGTAAGGACAAAGAGAAGCATTTTGACAAGCTAAGTTTGAAAGAATAGGGGGAAAATGCAGTTTTTAAGTAATCTGTCCACAAATGACTATAATCAGGTTAATATATAGCAATTAGAGACAGAAAGACAAGTCAGTATATAGTAAAGATTGGTTGCTCATATAATAGTAACAAACTGATATTAAAGCATGGGAAAAAACTGAATTTATAATGAAATTCAAATATGTTCCTGACTACTCCCCAAATAGCAAGCTGGTTTCAGTGGATCAAAGCTGAAGCCGTTGTTAGTTTAAATGGAGCCAAATGAAAGTACTACATACTCTTCTGCTTGAAGAGAATCATGGAAGAGTTTTCAAGGAAGTAATCATGTGGTGCAAATGCTTAAGCATTCCACTTCTAGCTGAAGGGTTGGTGGTTCAAACCCACCCAGAGGCACCACAGAAGACAGGCTTGGCCATCTTCTTCCAAAAAGATCACAGCCTTGAAAACCCTATGGAGCAGCTGTACTCTGCACATATGGGGTCACCATCAGTTGGAATCGATTTGAACGCAACTAGCAACAACAATAATCATATGAAAACAGAGCAGTTTGTTGAGATATTCAAAATGTAAAGGCAGTTTGTTATTAGTTGCCATCAAGTCAGTTCTGATTCATAGTGACCCTATGTACAACAGAATGAAACACTGCCTGGTCCTGCGCCATCCTCACAATAGTTGCTATGCTTGAGCACATCGTTGCAGTCACGGTGTCAATCCATCTCGTTGAGGATCATCCTCTTTTTTGTTGACCCTCTACTTTACCAAGCATGATGTCCTTCTCCACAGACTGATTCTTCCTGATAACATGTCCAAAGTAACGTGAGACAAAGTCTCCCCATCCTAGCTTCTAAGGAGCATGCTGTACTTCTTCCAAGACAGATTTATTAGTTCTTCTTGCAGTCCATGGTATATTCAATATTTCTTTGCAGTTTAGGCAGCTATTTATTTTGTCTTTCTTGTTAATGTTTTCTTTTACTCTAATTTCTTATGTGTGAGTTTATGGCTTGCCTGTGGTTTTGTTTTCTATTATCTCTATCCTAAGTGCTCTTCCTCCACCAGCACCCTGAGGGATTATGGTTGTAAACCTTTTTTTTTTTTTTTCCTACCTCTCATTTAAGTTTCTGAGCTTGTTACTACCTTGAAAATGCTTTTTTACAAGATTCCCTACTGTCTTCACAATGGGTATTTTCACCTCTCTCTCGAAATACTAATTCTTAGACTTTTATTTTTTAATATGCTGAATTAGTAGTACAACTGTAGTTTTCTTTTGTTTTTATATAACAAAAAGTATTTTCTAGTCTCAAAATTATATCTAGTAACAAACTGTACAGCTGAAAAATATTGAATTGGGAAATGTTGTTATAAAAAGTTTTACAACAATAAGAAAAAATTTAAGTTATTTCTAGAGAAGCTTAACAGTTATCTCTGCAAAGTCACAATCTCAATCCCTTCCTCTTCTATACCTATGTAGCTACTTACTGATTATTTCTTCTCAGTGAAAGCAAATCTTTCATGTAGCTTACTTTGTCCAAGGGAAGCAGGTACCCCCTCAATCCCTTCACAATTGCCTCCCCACCTCAGCCTCCTCAAGGTGTCAGGGATAAACAAGCAAGGAAATCAAATATTTCACAATTATGTGAAATATAAGGAGCCCCGGTGGTGCAGTGGTTAAGCACTCGGCTGCTAACCAAAAGGTTTGGTAGTTTGAACCCACCAGCAGCTGCTCCATGGGAAAAAGACATGGCAGTCTGCTTCCATAAAGATTTACAGCCTTGGAAACTCTATGGGGCACTTCTACTCTGTCCTATAGGGTTGCTATGAGTCAGAATGACTCGATGGCAGTGGGTTTATGTGAAATATGATTTTTTAAAAATCTTTATTTTCATAAAATGCCCTAGAAACAGGATTATATGCTTTGTATAGTCAAACTTGAGTTAGAGTGTTTATTATTAATCTATTTCCTATTTCATAAAACTTATGAACATAAAGCACACACTTCGAGGGAGTACCTGATAATCTGACGGCATCACAGGCCCGCCTGAGTTTGCGCCTGAAGGCCCGAGCCGCGGTTTCTTATTTGGAGGCACCTGGTTAAGGCCTGCGTCCTGGCTGTGCTGCAGCCCCACCCCAGTGCCCCCGGCCCCGGCGCCAGCGCCCCCCGCAGTCCCGTTGGTCTGGGTGCTGTTCTGTTGCTGTGGCGGCGCCGGCGGAGGGGCTGCTGCCTGCTGCGGGGGTGCTGTGGGCTGCTGATGTTGGTTCTGCTGCTGTTGCTGATTCTTTTAAGGGAAAAAAAAAAGCGAGCTTGGTATGAAACTAAATTTACAGTAAATTCCTCATTCCTTGACATGCACATGTGACTGCTGATGGCCCTACAGAGCGACTTACTGGGACACCAAAGTGACTGGAACTGACTGGGGAATGAAGTGCGAGGGAATACAGTGTTGCCAAAAATCAAAGTACCAAACACTGAATAGGACTCAGTCTCTGAAGGGCATTTAGATGGCACAGTAACCCTCCATATTAGTCACGGACATCCCGTTGAAGGTGATAAGGTACATAGGAAATGGCCTGCACTCAATGAGACAGCTGTAATTCTTTCAATCCTGACTTTGGGAAAGTAGAGGGGCTTGGGGAGGGGGCTGTGCAGCCAGTTAAGATAAAAGACCAGAGTGATGCTTTGAAAAGCCGGTCTACATAAAGTGACGGTAATGAGTCTGAACAAACAAAAAAGGGCAAGAATTAGGAATCAGGGAAAAGAATAGGCTATAAAATAAACTAGGAAGTTCACTAGGAAGACCATTTATCTATGAGCTTATTTCAAATTTCAAGGTACATCTACAATCCCAAAACTTCCACAGAAACTAAAATAAATACATACTTAATTAAATCAAAGGCAGTTAAATACATAGTACTTATTAAGTTCTACTTTCCTAAGATCTTTTTTTGCCTCTTTTACTCTCTGGAGGTACCAAGTGTACCATGCAATTTATACCTTGTCACCTTTCTCTTCAGGTTCATCTTCATTAAGGAATTCTCGTTTGGGGTATGGAATCTGGCAGCCAGCAAATACACTAAAAATTATTTTAGAAAAAAGGAATACGTGTCATGGCATGATTTAAAATCCACAATATCATTAATCCTGTTAGTTTAAAATTCCCCTTTTATTTTGCTTAACAGATTTATTTATGCTCTCTTACTCCTTATCTGTGGCTGGAGTTTGCTGGATGCCTCCCAACACAATTTAGGCAATAGGAAAAGAACAAGTAGTTTTCTGAAGTTTTACATTAATTGTCACTTTCAATAACAAATCTGAGCTGCTTTAGTTGACATATGCAATATAGTTTTTCCAAATTCATCAGCAACGAAAATAACTGAATTTGTGTTTGCTTCAACAATGAAATTTTTTTTTTCCTTCAAGAAAAGCTGCATCTCTAATAAATCCAAGCACAAATTATATATTTGGATGTAGTAGGGATGAAGAAGTAGAGGGGCTTTGTGGTTCAGTGGACACGTTATAGAAGACAAAATTTTAGACTACCAGTTCCCTACTGGTTTGGTTTAATCTCTGACCTGACTGATTGACCTTTTTATGAAAGATCTTTTTATAAAAGTCCCATCTGTTCTCAGCTTTAGTTTTCATCTGTAAAACCAATTAATAGTCATCCCTAAAACAGTCATTTTCATTCACACTCCTTTTCAGTTTTGCTTGTTTCTAAATACAGGGTTTTTCTCTTCAGCAGTTTCTCTCTGAGTAAGTATTAATGAAGAAAGAAAAATACTTTAGCAACAAGTGCTTCTCTTGCTTTCAGCTGTGGTCCCACATCCTCAACCTGGAGAAAGGACACAGAAGGTAGGCTACATACTCTAATGTCGGCAAGGGGTCCTCCTGGAAATAGGGATCCTGCAGAGCCTGCTCTGAGGTAATTCTCTTGGTTGGATCCATAGTAAGGAGTCTCTGAAGCTAGAGTAACACGTAAGAAATTAAGAGCACATAAAAAGGTTGTTTACAACATTTTAACTTTTACATTAATGTCTAACTGGATTAACATCAAATACATTTTGTTTAGCTCACGGATTGTCATACAATACACATTTATGTACAATTGGCAAATACCATCAGCATTAAAGCTCTTTTAGAATTTAAATTATTTCTTGCTGATAAATCGTTGAAAAAAATTCAGACTAGAAGTCAAGGGTGACATCTCAACACTAAAATGTTTACTTTTGCTCCCAAAACCAAAAAGAACAAACCTGTTGCCGTCAAGTCGATTCTGACTCATAGTGACCCTATAAGACAGGGTAGAACTACCCCACAGGGTTTCCAAGAAGCCGCTGGTGGATTCGAACTGCTGACCAAAAGCTCTTAACCACTGTGCCACCAGGGCTCCAATTTTTCCCCAGCACCCACCAATTTCATTTCTTTCTAAAGAGAAGGTAAATGGGATGAGGTGAGAGCTATGCTAAGGATCAGATTTCACAGTCTGGGAGAGATGCACCTACCAAGAGGAATACTTTGCTGTCAGGCTTGACCTTGTGTTTCTCCATGTATTTTATGAGGCTACTATTGGCATACCTGCAAGAACATGGACAATCACACATCACTGGGAAAACTCACACAACTGTGTATTTTTAAATGAAAAGCTCCAAGATTGGTTTTCCTAATCAGTTTTTCTATAAGGCATGTGTGTTTAAGACACTGTTTTCCATGACTAAAAAGGCACACGTTACCATATATCAGCAAATGTGTGAAGAAATAGGAATTGTTATATAATGCATGTAGAAGTTTATACTGTTAAATCACTATGGATAATAATTTTACATTAACCATTAGAGCTGAAAATATGTATATCCTATGACCCAGCAATTCCATTCCTAGCTATATACTCTAGTCTAAGACATACTTTTGCACATGTACATCAGGTTACGTGAAAAAGAATGCTCTTAGCAGCGCAGCATTTTTGTAATAGCAAAAGGCTGTACATAACTCAAATATCCATCAAATGAAGAATGGGTAAATAAACTGCTATATATTCATAGAATGGAATGTTATACAATAGTAAAAATGAAAAAACTATAGCTATATACATATGGTTGAAGGGAAAAAAGCCAAGTTGCAGAAGAAAATACACCGTATGGTACCATTTATATAAAGTTCAAAGACATATTAAACAGAACAATAATTAATTTAGACAGACATACATAGTAGTAAAACTATATGTTCCAACTCATAGCAACCCTATAGGACAGAGAAGAACTGCCCCATAGGGTTTCCAAGGAGCACCTGGTGGATTCAAACTGCTGACCTCTTAAACACCACACCACCAGGGCTTCCATAATAAAAACGGTGAATGATAAATAAAAATTCAGAAAAATGGCTACTTTTTGGGAGGGATGTAATCAGGGAGGAAGGACACACAAGGCATTTCAGTGATCTTGTTTTTGTTGTTTGTTGTCCTCTAGTTCATTCCAACTCATGGCGACCCCATGTGTGCAGAGCAGAACTGCTTCGAAGAGTTTTCAAGGCTGTGACCTTTCGGAAGCAGATTGCCAGGTCTTTCTTCCGAGGCACCTCTGGGTGAGTTTGAACCACCAACCTTTTGGTTAATAGTCCAGTACTTAACCATTTGTGCGACCCAGGGACTCCATCAGTAATCTTAGTAATTTTCTATTTCTTAGGTTGAGGGGTGGGTAGATGGATATTCATTTTATTATTCTAAATATACTATACATCTTAAGTTGTCATCATACCTATTCTTTCCTATATATGAAATATTTCAAAATAAAAAGGTCAAAAAATAAATAAGTGCATGGTAGAAAATTTAGAGAACATAGGAAAGAACAAAGAAGGAAATTAAAATAACTCACAATCAAACTATTCAGTTATAAATAACCACTGTCAAGATTTTGCTAATTTCTCTTTGACATTTTTTTCTAGTTATACACATATATGATACAAGAAACACAGGGGATTTTTTCATTCGTTTTTTAAAAATTGAGATTGTATTATATAAATTATTTTGCAACTTTTTTAACTTAATAGTTTCATAAACATTTTCCCTTGTCAAATACTCTTTAAACTTATTATTTTTAAAACCAAAAAACAAACCCATTGCCATTGTTAAACCAGTTGCCCTCAAGTCAATTCCCACTCAAGGCGACCCCACGTGTTTCAGAGTAGAACTGTGCTCCAGAGGGTTTTCAATGGCTGATTAAGAGACCTTTCTTCCAAGGCACCTCTGGGTGGACTCAAACCACCAACCTTTCTGTTAGCAGCCAAGCAAGTTAACCATTTGCACCACTTAGTTTTAAATAAATTCCTCTTTGTCTTATGCATTTATGTGGGCAGAACTGTTTGCTTAGGAAGTATGGGTTGTTCTCGCTAAACTTTTCGTATTATTTTTCTAGCTGAATTTCATTTAAAATGTACCTTCTTTTATTTCTGGTTATTGTAAACACTATCCTATAATCTGGTTGGTAAAAATTTCCATTCGGTCTTTAAATACTAAGGTAAATGTTAAGTGCCTTCATTAGTTTTCTCCAACTTTTGTATTATTGGAGTATCTTCAATTACTTGAACCACTTTCATTCAATACCCACTTGACAAGTAATTACGGAGCATGTACTATGTGCTAGGCCCTCGGGATACAGTGGTGTATATGATACACATGATCCATACCATCCAGAGGGAAAGACAAAAAAGTATTCAAAAACTAACTGTAATGCAAGGTGATCAGTGCTGACGGAAGCAGAACAGGTTGCAACAGGGGTGCAGAGGGGGAGCACCTTATTCAGACCTGGAAGGTCAGGGGAGACCTCGTCAGGGAAGTGATGCCCAGGTCAAGACCTAAAGCATAAATAGAAAGGATAAGTAGTAGGAGTTAATCTGACGAAGGAAGTGGAGAAAAGCATATCCTAGATTGAGGGAATAGCATGTGTAAAAACCCAAAGGGTAAAGAAAGCTCAGGGTACTTCGGGTACTTAAAGAAATTCACAATGCCTCGGCGGTCAAATACAAAGTAGAGAGTGGTGAGATGAAACTGGAGAAGCAGAAGCCAAGATTTCATGGGCCATATTAAGGAACTGAGAGCAAATGTGAATTAAGAGCAACTAGGTAAGTGACATGATCAAATTTGCATTTGACAGTGATTGCAGTAAAGACAGTGAGTTGGAATGAAGAGTGGAGACAGAAATACCACTTAGGAGGCCACTGAAGGATTCTAGGTGAGAGTTGGCAGTGGCCTGGACAACAATAATGGCAGAGTAGATGGAGAGAAGCAAAAAGATTCAAAGGGTATTTAGAAGAAAGAACTGACTAGGTTTGGGTGCTAGGGGTAAGATGGAAGACAGTGAGATAGAAGAAGGATTGGGAATAGCTCCCAGGTCTTTGGCTTGAGAAATTAAGTGAATCATGTGACTATTTCCTAAGATAGGAAACAGAGCGGGAGGAGAGGTACAAGGGAATAGATGAAAAGTTCAGTTTGTATGTTAATTTGAAGTATTTATGAAACATTCCAATTGGGATTCCATAAGGCAACTAGATAAATGGATCTGAAACTTGAAAAAGAGATCTGAGCAGGATATACAGATTGTATCGGCATAATTGATGGTAAACTGTGGCCATCAAAACTGAGGAGACTGTCTGGGAAAATGTCTAGAGTGAAAAGACAGCCCAAGACAGAACCCTGATTGAGCAATACCAGTGTCATCTTTAACATGGATAGAGGCAAAGGACTCTGCTGAGGACAGTGTGAAAGAGGGGCCAGAAATGATCAGCAGCATTCTCTACTTTTCTTTATGATGTCTGGTTTCATTTCAGCAAGTCATCCTGTCCTGAAATTCTGTTAAGTTGCCCAAAGGAAGCCACTTCCACCTTTCCCTCTAGGTGAGCATGTTTATTACAAATTCTTATCAGGCCACCACCTTTACTCTTCTCTTACTTCTACTCAATGTACATGTCTCCACCAGCTTGTTTTTCTCAGATCCTTCTGGCATTCTTCCTGGTTTCCTAGTCAAGCATTTCAGTCACCAATAATGACTCAGATAAAGATAAAATCAAGGCTGTAATCTTGTACTTAGACAGAACAGACGTTTAAAAGACCTACTTATCCTTCAAATTTTTTTAACTACAATCTAAACCTTGAATATATGTTAACAGTATCTAAAATATCTTCTTTAAATCACAGGCATAAATCACTGTATACAATCTAAGTTTCTGGCTTTAATTAATAATCTCCATTTGACTTTTTAAAAGATTAATTTAAATGTTCCCATTGATGTTTCAACCTATACTTACTATGGAATTACTTACGTTGTTCTTCTAAAGTCTTTTTGAAGTGTGGGGTATTCTGGCATCTTTCTAATATCTTCCCAATCTTTATCTTGGAAAAATAAATATTGAATATTGTTAACAGGAAATACTTTGCTACTCTTATAAAAATCTCCTAATCATGTTTGTTTTAAAATATACACAATATACTTAAAATATGCTTGATTTTGAAAAGGAAAATAAATTACCTGCAGGAAATCCCATGACACTAAATATCCGATCTAGTTGATCATGATGAAAGGGATTGCTTGTTTTTATATCTTCCTGACGACAGTGAAATATAGGTTCTGAAGTTAACAATTCAGCAAATATGCAACCTATTGCCCATATATCTATGAAGAAAGAAAAATAAGTTTTTGTACAGTTTTATTATATTTCCTTGGTTATAATTCCTGGGTATAAACCTACATATAAGAAGACTTTTCAGTGAAGCAATATATAAGATACAATAAGTGCAGTAAGAAAAAAAAATATATATATATATACATATGTATGATGTGAAGCACATCACCACACATCAGACTGAAAATCTTCAAAAACATTTTGTAAATTTCCTGATGAAGATAAGCTTGGGAAACTCAACTTAGCAAGCAATTACTTCCTTAGATTTAGGCAAAAGCCTTCCTAAGTACTATTAATAATTTAATCGCTGAAGCAGTCAACTGATAATCTAAAACAGGAACTGATATGATGAAACAATAACATCAACTCTGGTGATGTAATTCTTTTAAGACAACCAAATGCATAATGAAAGAGCAGAATTTAAGAGATTCTGAATCTAGACAGAATACAGACCACATTAAAAGATTTGGAAAAACTTACCTTTTGTCAGAAAGACTACCAATTTCAGTTTTTTCGACAAATTGTAAGGTCTAGAAGCTGATAAACAGTACAACTATATATAGACACTGCATGAAACCAGTAGAGACAGATCTTATCTAAACATATTTTCTTAGATGCTGTCCCACCTACCAACCTACAGGATAAAGTTAGGAATCTTTGAAAGTTTTATTAACTATTTCAAGTCACCAATTACAGATTATTCTATCAGGATTTTACACATGGAAAGACTGTAATTTATATTCTGAGACTACAATATTGTATACACAATGCATTGCCAAATGTATAAGTGAATTAATTTTTGTGAGATCACACTTGTCCACTTAAAAAATGCTGGTTAGTAAGTAATTTTTTAAAAAAGTTAACAACCCAAGGACTATGATAATATAGTATGAAAGAGTACAGTATTTAGTAGCCTACCAAATGTGGGGATCACATTCTGTAGGAAACTTAAATAAGAAATAAGTTTAACCATATCCATTAGCTAGAATTAGTGTCGGTATGCTATTTCATGAAACAAATTGCCAGATGGAACAAAACATATAGTAAGGTCTCATTTATCTGACCTCATTCAGGAATGGTTTCCTTCCATATAAGTTAGCCTTCTGGATAATGGAAGCACAGTCCTTCGATAACTATTTTTTATTATACCATTACCTGCCATCTTAAAAGTTATAAAATAGAACTTAATCATTCTTGATGATGTAACAGGGTCATCATCACCATGAACACCCATCACTAAAGAGGAGGGTAATAGTACTGTTCAGTGTCTACTTTGTAATTCTTTTCTCTCCACCACATCATGTTGGTTGTCACTCTTGTCCCTGATGTGCTGCCTCTGACAGTCCCATCTATCTTCCTGCTGGCTGCCTCTACTCTGCAGTAAGCTGGGACTACTGCGGACTCTGATACGCTGCTGATCCCACTGATTTCCGGTTTGTCCTCTATTCAAAGGACGGAAGCCAGGATCTAAATCTCCCCGTGAATTGCTAAGAGAAGGAATCTCAGGGTAGCAGGTGGGGTTAAATTCTAGGGTTTCCTGCCTCATATCAGCTTCTAATTTTAAATAGTCATTTGGCTCCTGTACCATCTATACCCACCCCTCAGCTCTCTTTTATCTAGTAATGACTTTTTAGCACATGTACGCACGTGAGCGCACACACACACACCCCTACCTTAAATGTCACTCCACAAACCTCCACCGATATTAAAATCATCAAACTCTCTTTTTTCTATCCTCTGAAAGGTGCAGTGGTTTAGAGCCTGGCTGTTAACTAAAAAGTCAGCAGTTCGAAACTACTAGCCGCTCCTTAGAAACGCTATGGGGCAGTTCTGTTCTGTCCTATAGCGTCACTGTGAGTCGGAATCAACTCCATGGCAACAGGTTTGGGTTTTTTGGGGGGTTTGAATAGAAATAATGCCCACTTCTGACATGGACCAGGCATGGAGAAGAGTGAAAGTGAGTGAACGTGTACAGACTTCTGTGTCTGCTATGAACATATTTCAAGCTCAAAGATAACTGATTTGGGGGTCCTTCTTTTTCTGTTGTTTTTCTTTTCCCCTAACTTCTACCCAGCATGGATAATTGGCTTGACTAAAATTAGAAATCAGTGATTATGCGTTTATCTTTAAGTGGTAAATCTCATTTACTGAGCAAGTAAGTTGCAATCTGGTTAAAATTCCATTTCAGTTCTTGTTACCCTGAGAAAATAGGAAATACAGTTCCTTTTCAATTCCTCCCCAATAACCTTTATTTCCCAAAAAACATATCTATTTTCATTTCAACACTAGAGCTATTAATCAGAAAATACTCATGAAACTGTGCTCCTCAAAGCGTGGGCTCTAGGACCACACACAACCGAATCCCCTAAGGGTGCATATTAAAAAATGGGCCTTGCAATGGACTTACTGTATAAGAATCTCTAGGAGTAGGACAGACTTTGGTGGGGAATCATTTAGTTTTAACAGAAAGTTTTGGCTGAATTTGTCTTTTTTTAATCGTTATCTCTCTTCTAGATACAGACTACTAGTATTTGGTGAAGGAGCCCTTGTAGTGCAGTGGTTAAGCGCTGGCCTGCTAACCAAAAGCTTGGAGGTTCAAACCTATGAGCCGCTCCATGGGAAAAAGATGCAGCAGTCTGCTTCTGTAAAGATTACAGCCTTGGAAACCCTATGGGGCAGTTCTACTCTGTCCTATAGGGTCGCTATGAGTCGGAATTCGACTCCATGGCAATCGGTTTAGTTTGGTTTTTTAGTGTTTGGTGAGAGCCCAAGACACATGGATTTCTACTGTTACCACATCCTCTACCGCCACTTCTCGCCCTGGGGTATTGCACCATCAACCACTGGCTGGTCGACGGCACCACCTGTGGCTTCCAACTACGGTCCCCCTTTCCCTGGCTTACATTCAGTTTCTTCCTGTCCTTTGATGCCTTCTGAGATTGTCTAAGGGATTTATTTTACTGTTTTCAATTGTGGGTAAAGAGAACATAAACAGAAAATGTAAATGTATAGTTATAAAAGTCTCAAAAATGCAGCCCCTCAATAAAAGTTACTCGTTGGAATGTAAATAGTCAGGCTCTGGTTTTTGCTCTTCCTTATCTTACAGCCACTCAATCCCTTCCATTTGCTTTCTGTAATTATCCTTCCTTCACTCTTCACAGAGAGCTGCCACTGCCCACTGCTGATAGGGTGTCCCTGGCAATCTCTAATCTGCTGCCTTCCTAAGGACTCAACTGCTAAGGGGAGGGGTAAGGTCAGTCTCACATCGCTCTACTGTCAAGCACACACTGGTTTTCCTCATAGTTTTGAGACAACTCAGAGGCTTTTTCCCTAAGTTAACAAAATCATTCAGCAATATTTATGAAGTACTTACAACATGTGGGCACTGTGCTAGAGTCTCAGTCCCTGGACAAAGCAGAAGTGTTCCGGGGGTCTGAATTTTACAGAACTCCTGATAAATGAGGACACTACTATATTTTAATTTTTGTTTGCCTTCTTCACCCATGGCCAAGTTAATTATCAGTCTAATCTTTCCAAATGTAAGACTTCCTTCTTAGTTAACTTGGGTGCCACCAGGTTTTTCATAAGCTTGTTTAACAAAGAAAGGATTGGGCTTACTTGTCTATATTTAATAATTTCATACTTTTAATGCCTTTATTAAATACAGCTCAAGAAAAGCAACCAAATGTAGTCAAAACTGGTATTAACCAGTAAATAGACTATTCAAAAGAAAATTTTAAAGAAATACATTTCGCAGATTCAGGTACCTTACAGAACTAGTCCTTCACTATTAACAGTTCTGTTTACTCTCTTGCTCATCTCTCTTTTCACCCCCTTTAAAGAAGTCTCTGGGCTTGAGAAGGGCTCTCTCCTCATAATCCCTCAATTTGCAGCGAAGCTCTCTGAGGACTGTACTGACCAGGTAGCAAAATCTACGATGCCTCTATTGTGAAGCAGACTTACAGAGTGTGTGTTTATAACAGGTCTTTTTAGCTTTTTTTTTTTTTTAAAAACTAAGTTAGATGGCAAGATGCTGAGCACTGCTAATCTACCCAAACTCCATCTATTTCTTACTGCTAAATGTAATGGCAAGACAGATCAGCCATATTGTTTCTTGTTTAGGAAAGGATGTGGCTGACTAACTTTTCCCCAAATAGAAGGGGCTCTCTCCAACACACTGCACTAGTCTTGTTTTTCTGTTTGTGAAGAAAACAATTCTAATCCTCTCTCCTGTTCCTTTATCAACAGCTAGGGAAGTACAAAATAAAATTTGCATGTTATCATTTCCATAGCAACTCAATAGGATCAGATACCTCTATTCTCTGAAAGAATAAGCTTTCTTCTTTTAAAAGAACCATATTCTCTTATAGAGTTAAAAGTCCAAATCTACCAGAATGTAAAATCTAGGAATATAGGAGACAACAGGACTTTTTACAAAGAGCCATTAAGTGGTTTTTACCAAGGAGCTTTATTACTATACCATTTGGTATTTATGATAGTACAATGCCAAGATAATAAATCATTTTGGACTAACTTACCAATGGCTTTTGTATAATGCCTTGCACCAAGCAAAAGTTCTGGAGCCCGATACCAAAATGTCACCACTACTGGATCCAAATCTGCTAGCGGCTTTAGAGGAGAATTGAATAATCTGGCAAAACCCATGTCAGCTAAAAAATAAAATAACATAAAAATCAGCTTGACAGGCTATTAGAATCATGCAAGTTTGACAACAACAGCTGCTAACCTTATAAGGCAGCCCTTTTCCTCCCTTTTTAACCAGTGGTCTATAACAGGCACAAGATAGGAATTACCTCATTTATCTTTAGTACTCCCTTCTGAGATAGACATCTGATTTACCCAAGGTCATGAAGCTAGTCAGTACAGAGTCAGAATTAGAATCCAGGTTTGACTTTAGATTCCTGTCTTTCAGAGACAGTTCAAATAATATTCTTAAATGTCTTTGAAATCTAAAATAGTCTAAAAGTTTCTATGATTAATTATGACTTGACCTATAGGGTCGCTATGAGTCAGAACTGATTCAATGGCAGTGGGTTTGGTTTTTAGTATGCCTATACATCTAAAAACTGACTATATCTTCATTCCGTGTGTGCTGAACTGGCTCTTACTGGCTCACAAGATCCGACTGTGCGCATCTCTCCCCAATTCTGCATTCAGTGGTACATGCTGGTGGCTTGAAAACGGCAAGGAGGGAGGATTTACATCATGGAAAACAGCAAATGCTAGAATTTGGGGATTTTTCTCCCAGAGAGTCAGTTGTTGAACATTTATTAGCATATCACTGTTAGTAATACATGTTTCCAATAGCATGCATAGAACATATAAGAGATAATTTGTTGTAATTTAGCATTTAACAAAGGCCTACACCAAATCTAACTGATATAAGAATTAGGAGCCCTGGTAGCACAATGATTAAGAGCTCGGCTGTTAACAAAAGGTTGGCAGTTTGAATCCACCACCTGCTCCTTGGAAACCCGATGGGGCAGTTCTACTCTGTCCATTTCTGAGATGAAAAGTCTTAAGGCCCAAAGGAGTTAAATGACTTTCCCATGGTCACAGGACAGTAAGTAGAGATGCCAGTACTCAAAAGAAACCATGCTATAATTTAGTAGCTACATTCTTAGCCACGGATCTGACATTTAAAAAATTACACACATGGTAACTGCAAGTGATGAAGGCAAAGTCACAAGAATGATAAACCTCCCTAATTTGAAATATACAGTATACGTAGTATATTTTGACTGTACAAGGGGCCCCGAGGTACCGTACTATAAAGTGTGCAAATAGCACATAACCGTTTCAACTATGGAGTATCATTTAATTTTAAACCAATATGCTATGATATAACACATTAACATTTTAATTTGCAGTGATTTTGTTTCTTTAGAGTTTGAATAATTTATAAGACTTTCTGAGAATGCTTTAGAAAACCCTGGTCTTAAAAAAAAAACTGTCCACGGAATCCTGTGCTGATGCCTATTCTTTCTGAAATTTCCCTACAGTAAACCAAGATATTCAAAATCACTCCATCAATACTGCACTTACTTCAAAGCACTGCCTGATATATTTAATAGATGCTGATTGTTGCTGATGGTAAAGTAATATAGTGGAATGTTGTTTCATCCATTGAAAAGCATTTTATTTTTAAAAGAAAATCTAAATTCAGTATTTCTCTCCTTATTCTCTACTTGCTTAGTTTGATCTATGCCCCACTTATTCACTGTCAGATGAAATTAAGGCCAGTAGGAAACAATGTTGTTGTTGTTGTTAGCTGCCATTGAGTCAGTTCTGACTCATAGCCACACTATATACAACAGAACAAAACACTACCCAGTCCTGTGCCATCCTCACAATCGCGATTTGCTATGCTTGAGCCCATCATTGTAGCCACTGTGTCAATCCCTCTTGTTGAGGGTCTTCCTCTCCTTAACTGACCCTCTACTTTACCAAGCATGATGTTCTTCTCCAGGGACTGGTCCCTCTTGATAACATGTCCAAAGTATGTGAGACAAAGTCTTGCCATCCTCGCTTCTAAGGAACATGCTGGCTGTACTTCTTCCAAGACAGATTTGTTCGTTATTCTGGCAGTCCATGGTATATTCAATATTCTTTGCCAACACCATAATTCAAAGGCATTAATTCTTCTTTGGTCCTCCTTATTTACTGTCCAGCTTTCGCACACATATGAGGCAACTGAAAATACCATGGCTTCGGTCAGGTGCACCTTTGTCCTCAGACTGACATCTCTACTTTTTAACACCTGAAAGAAGTCTTTTGCAGATTTGCCCAATGCAATACGTTGTTTGATTTCTTAACTGCTGCTTCCATGGGCGTTGGTTGTGGATCCAAGTAAAATGAAATCCCTGACAACTTCAATCTTTTCTCTGTTTATCATGATGTTGCTTACTGGTCCAGTTGTGAGGATTTTTGTTTTCTTTATGTTTAGGTGTAATCCATACTGAAGGCTGTGGTCTTTGATCTTCATCAGTAAGTGCTTCAAGTTCTCTTCACTTTCAGCAAGCAAGGTTGTATCATCTGCATAATGCAGGTTGTTAATGAGTCTTTCTCCAATCCTGATGCCGCATTCTTCTTCATACAGTCCAATAAATACTCTTAAAAACAATTCCTACCTGATGTATAACTTTAAAAGAGTTTCAAACTACTTTTTCAAATAATTACTAATTCATACCAAAAGTAACTAGCCTAAATATTACTAACAGCTGTTTTCCTAAAACTAGATATGAATGTTTATTTACATATCACTGTTAGTAATACATGTTTCCAATAACATGTAGGTAGGTGAAACTGTTCCACTTAATGGACAAGGGTAGTAAAATTCTGGTATGGGTGATAATTAGGCAGTATCAAATGATGAAAAAGAAGCAACAGAAAATGTCTATCACCAAGAAACTTACAAGAAGGCAAGATGGCAAAATACATGAAAATAAAAAAGGGAATAAGTACTATAAAAATGAAGAAAAGTTTCTACTGGTTTCTGCTAGATTTTAAATTCTTTAGGGGAAGGGTCTATATCTCCTACATGGTTTAATCTAGAACAATGTTTAATAAGCATTTGCAGAAGTGAACTAAATTGAAAGTGGAACATGGGCTAGATACTGAAGGATAAATCATTTTGAATAGTAAAAAAGGCAGTAACATTTTAGTAAGGCCTGGGATGGGGGCTACTAGGGAGGGGAAAGCAGGAAAGGCACAGTGTTATTTTCCACTCAACTATGCTTTTCTTTTAAGTCATAAAAGAACTATATTAAAGTGTTAAAGATAGGCATTAGTGTTACTACTTTTTAAAAAATAATGTTTTATTAAAACAAAATTTAAAAACAATTTAATCAACTAGATTGATTGTTCACCACTCCTTTATTTTTAAGCATTGCTTACTTTTATCCCTGGTTTTATCTCCAATCCTAGATAGAATTACAAACCTAAAACTCTTAACAGTAAGGCAACTAACTGGCCTGGCCAGAGTATAGGATTTATGTTGAAGAGTAATAGAGATATTTGATAGCAGTAAGGAGAAGATACTAAGTTTCAGTAACTGGGATAAATGTGATGACTGGTACAAACAAACAAGGGAGAGTGTGAGATGATGATAAATTTGCTTTGGGACAATGGAATATAGGGTGACAGCAGAGTATCCAAATAGAGATAAAGACTTCATTCAGCTAGGGTGAGAGAATAGAATCTGAGATCCAGATCTCAGAACAATTCACACAGACTCCAAGATTTTGAGGTCATAACAATTTATCAATTCCCTAAAAAAATTCATGGTAGAAGGAGGCCATGTGTCAAGCCAATGCCTACAGTGTCTTAAAACAAGAGGTTAATAAGAGTACGAGGCAATAATTAACAGAATGCAGAGGCAACAGCAAGAATGGTAGGCAGAAAAATAGAATTATGTGATGTCATATAGTCCAAGGGAGAAGACAGTCAGGTCTCAAGGCCAGGTTGGTCAGAAGAACAAATGGCTTAAGGCAGTAAAGGAGAATGGTAACTAAATACAGCCACTTGATTTGGTAGAACTGAGGTCACAAATGCCCTGTACGGAGCAGTTTCAATACAGGGATGGAATCAGAGGTCAGATATAACAAATTAGGTAAGTGGAACCAATGGGTGAGCACCATATGTTTCAGAAGTAAAGGAACAAGAGGGGGAAAGAGAAATAGAATAAATGCTAAAGAAGATAAGATGGATATAAAAAGGTTTATTTTCAGGCTGAGAAGAAGATTATGAATGTTTAAAGGTGAAGAAGAGAAACTTGAGAGGGGGAAAATGAACACATTGTAATCTGGGGAGCTTAAGTATGGGCAGGGAGATATTTGGAAACCAGAAAAAGCACTAGTAGATAGGGCTTAGGAAAAACAAGAGTCACTCTTTCTCTGAGACTGTTTCAAAGGTAGAGCTGTGCAGAGGAAAAGTGGAGGTCAGTGAGGTCATGCCAGATGGCTTGCTGTCACTGGGCAACAATGTGTGTAGGGAAAGACACTCTGGACTTGGAATTCAAGTCCTAGCTTTGAAAGCCTGAGCAGCTACAAGCTCTCTAAATCTGGTATTCCTTATCTGTAATAGCCACCACAGAGGGTGGATGTATAATAAGTGAGGTAACATATGAAAGCATGTATCACACTGTATAGTAAACTGTTTATTTTACTGTCTTACTCATGGGGCGGGGTGGGGAGGACCATCTGTTAGCTCTCTTTCACTAGTGTCTGGCAAAAAGTAAGCATTCAAAAAATGCCTATGAGAGTGTGAGAGAGAAATAGAAAGAAGCATGTCCACAAAACATTCATTCCCATATAATACGAGAAAGAGACGTGAGGAGTCGTGAGTGGCGAGGGGGAAGAAAGTGGGGGAGGGAAGAGGCAAGAGAAGGAAAGCAGCTATCAGGTGGTACTTAATTAACATCAACAAATTTTTGAATGAGTCTGAATCTCAGTAAACTCAGACCAAAGGTTTAAAGAAAGGCAAATGTTTAAAACAGCTTCTTCAAGGACTGGGCTAGAGAATTAATTGAAGAAGTAGAAGACCAAGCAGCAGGGCATACTTGGTTGATGTAGGATAGCATGAATTAGTAGTAGGTTAAGTTAACACAACTTTGTATCACCATTAGCATGATATGCTAATAGCAAAGAAAGCAGGCTGATGAAACACAATTTATTGTAAAATTCTTTTTAAAAGCATTAAACATTCAGTGAACATAATTTCTATTAAGAGAAATTAGAATATAGCATTTCTTAGCTCAGTTTCTCCCCAAAGCTATCACAGGTACAAATGATACTGATTTATTTTAGAATGTTCAGGGTTGCAAAGGAAATATTAATGTAAGACTCTTGCTGGTGCCTTAAACTAAGATAGGTAAGAAAGAAAGGCTGTGAACATATATATTCATTTGGAAAATACATGTTGGTGCCTGGCACAGGACATAAGGACCTAGGGTGCAAGGAGGAGGGGCACCTGTGAAGGTATATGTGTATTAGGTCAGGGCGGGAGGGATGTATTCAGGGAGAGAACATGTGGTAAAGCTGAGACAGACGTAAGATTTAAAGGATTTTTGTGTTTAGGGTGACTGTGTAGGGCAATGGTAGTAGCATAAACACATGCTTGGGATATTATATGGGAATGAATGTTTTTGTGGGCTTGTTTATCAAATCCCAGTGATGCCTTAGAATCACAGCTTAGCTTAGAATCATAGAATCTTATTTCAGGAATAACTCTGGAGGTTATAAACTATCTATCTACATTTCCCAACATCTTTTCTAAAAATATTATGAGGAAGTAATTTTAAAACTAACTACTTAAATAAGAGTATTTAAAGGGAAAACCATTTTTGCAGTCACTTCAGTTTCTTAATAAATTATTTTAGGCATAATTACCTACCTATTTTGACTCTCCCCCTCTCAGGACCTTCTCCCATTACTAGGATATTTGCTGGTTTCTAGAAATAAAAATAGAGCACTCGAATTACTACGTTTATTCTTTTGACATGCTCTAAAAGGGGAAAAGAAGTTCTTACAATATGAAAACATTCGCTGTGTTTTTGTCAAAACTATAATCGAATATTTAAGCACCCTCTACACAGCTAAAGCATTTGACATACTTGAAGTTAACACTAACTTTATATAAACATCCTTGCTATAGAAATACACCTTATTTTCAAAATTACATCATACAAATAAATACAAAGTAATTAAAGCTATTATTTTTATTCATCTCAAAGAAAAAAAAATACTAATAAAAAAACTCCCACAAATTATAAACTGTCTGCTAACTGCCCACAGCAAAGAGCTTATGTGGCTAAAATTTTTATACAAAATTTCAAACCACAACACGATTACCTTCATTTAAGTGAATCAAATGGAATATTCCTTGCTAAAGATTTGTAAACTACTGTAGGAAAACATGATCAACATTCAACAGACTCCATTAAAATTCATACATCTTTTAAGCTATAGTACATGCAAAAGTGAGAAATTCCAAATATCATTTCAAGAAGTAGGAAAATAAAAACCAAGGCTAATCCAGAACTATATAAAGACAAAGAGTAGGCTATAAATGCATCCACCATCTCTTAAGTCATGCTCGTTTGTAGACATCTGGAGCAGAGGAACTGTGGGAACAGGCTTCGTTTATTTATTTTTCTTTTGGGCAAATAAGTCTCCCTTGTAAACTGTTCGGAGAGAAAATTTATGTTTTTAACTTATTACATTCATTTATTTAATCAATGAATCTATTTTTAGTTTCTTCTAAGGACAAAGAACCATCTAAGCACCATGAGGAAAAAGAAAAGAAAACCAAATTCCTAACCTCCAGATGCTTACTATATAAGTAGAAAGAAAAATCAGAGGTTTTGTGTAATATTAGAAGCTACTGCTGTATATGAGTTGTTATAGATAGGATTCTAGTCTTGGTTGAAGATGTTAAACTAGATTACTTTAAGATACCTTACAATTTGCTGTTTTTTTTTTTAAGTTTCAATGAAAACAATAAACACCAAAAAAAAAAAAGGAAGTGATATAACCAGGGATTCCATTTTTAAGGAAAATGTTCATTGGGGTGCAAGGATGGGGGTTATACATCAGTGAGATCCTGAAAAATGAATAAGAAGAACTAGAACTAGCATGGCAAAAAGAAGAACACTGCAGGAGGTAGAAAAGGCTATGAACATGGTATGCTTAAAAAAAAATAACAAAAAACCAAACCCACTGCCATCGAGTCTATTCCGACTCATAGCAACCCTATAGGACAGAGTAGAACTGCCCGTCCCATAGGGTTTCCAAGCAGCAGCTGGCGGATTCAAGCTGCCGACCATTTGGTTAGCAGCCAAGCTCTTAACCACTGTGTCACCAGGGCTCCTCATGGTATGCTTAGGAGACAGTAATAAGTCTGACTTGACAGAAATGAGAGGGCCCATGTTGGGGTGGTAGAATGAACCTAAACTATGGATGGTCTTTCATGCCAGATGAAGTATCTATCCTTTACATTGTTGTTGTTGTATGCCGTTGAGTCGATTCCGACTCATAGCAACCCTATAGGACAGAATAGCCCACAGAGTTTCCTAAGCTGTAATCTTTACAGGAGCAGACTGCTAGGTCTTTCTCCTGCCAGTTCTTTCTCCCTCAGAGCCGCTGAGTGGGTTCAAATGGTTGACCTTTTCAGTTAGCAGCCGAGTGCTTAACCATTGCACCACCAGTGGTGGAGTTGGTGCTAACAACTGGGTGTGAGGTGATATGGACTTTGTCCAGTGTCTTGCGAGCTGAAATGGAGAGGGAAGTATGGAGCTAAGAAACATTTTAAAGAACCAATTAACAGGACTTTGTGGATGGTTGAAATTAGAAGATTAAGAAAAAGGGAGATAAAGATTTAACCAAGGTTTTGAGTTTACGTGACTGGTAGAATAATGATGCCTTTTATGGTGATTGGAGCCCTGGTGGCGCAGTGATTAAGAGCTTGGCTGCCAACGAAAAAGGTCAGCAGTTCGAATCCACCAGCTGCTCCTTGGAAACCCTATGGGGCAATCCTACTCTGTCCTATAGGGTCACTATAAGTTGGAATCAACTCAGCGGCAATGGGTTTGGTTTTTGGTTTTTTATGGTGATAGACAAGTTATGAGAAGCATTGGTTTGAGATGGGGGACAACACAGAGAGGGAGACAACATACTGAGTTTGAGTAATGTGAGATATCCACGTCATAATAAGCAGTGGAATGGAAACAGGAACTACCCCATAGAAATTTGAAAGTTATTGTCATTAGGGTATGATAACTGAGGGCATGATTAGTTCACTATAGCAGAAAGAGAAAAATAGCAGTCAGACAAAAACTGAACCTTCAAAATTCAAGCTGGACAACTACTTATCAAAGATTCATTACGTATAAAACATTGTACTAGAGACTTTCAGGAAACAAAGAGAAATAAAACATAAAGATCTTGACTTCCAGGAGCTTGAAACCTAGTAAGGAAAAGCAGGCAGCTTGTTAGAATATAAGGCAAATTACGGAAAGTCCCAAAATAGCAAAATAAAATGCCAGGAATGAATGATTCTTTTCTGTGAACATCAGGATAGTTTTTAGGAAGGCAATGACTTTGGATGACTTTAAGGATGACTAAGATTTTGATAAGCATGACAAGAAGAAAAACTTCTCAGGAAACCATATAAGTAATGGCATGATAAGTATAAAACTATACACATGGCATATTGGGACAGCCTACAAGTATTTCGATGTGAGCAGAGCTTAGAATGCTCAGTATAGAAATAAGACTGGAGAATAATGTTGGGAATAAAATGCCACATTAAGGAGACTGGAATTTATTCTATAGGCAAAGCCAAGACAGGACAATGATGTAATCTGATCTATATTTAGGAAGAAACTCTGGTAGTAATGTGAGGGATAGACTGGAAAGGATGGATGAACCACAAAGCAGAGACAGAGACACCAGTTGGAAGTGGAAAAGTAAAGGGGCCCTAACTTGTGACAATGGTCATAGATGAAGATATAAGAGCATTTCAAGGTAAAAGTTCAAGAAGGCATTGCTATTTTGCAAGGCTCTCTCTACTTTCTATAGTCATTCATTCAACAAATGTTTACTGAACACATACTAAGTATCAGGTAGTGGTTTAGATGCTGGAGATATGACACTGAACCAGGAAAAATCCTGGCCCTCCTGGAGCTTACATTCTAGTGGCAAAAGAAAGACAATAAATAAACAAGTATACAGTACATCCGATGCTGATAAGCACTGTGGATAAGAATAAAACAAGGAGGAAATAAGAAACTTCTACATCTGGCTTTATGGCTGACTAGGTGCTCTGAGGGAGTCTGCGATACAGAACAACTATATGCTGAGTAAGAAATATTTCTTGAAGTATTCCTGACCACAGAAGAGGTTGGAAATATCTATAACAACTGCTCACCCTCACCCCAAATAAGTCTCTTGTGGCTGGGCTAGAGCTTTGAGCAGCCAGGAAAGGCAGAATGGGCTTGGAGGCAGATGCCAATAACGTACTTCAGTGGGGACGCTGAGCCTCTGGCCACCAGTAAGGTGAGGAAGCTGAGCCTGCTACTCCTTTGCAGTTAGTCAACACCTTCGAGGAGCTAAAGTAAAGTTAGATGAGTAAACCTATATGCTACCAGTAAACGCAAAAGCAAAATCTCTCTGGAGGAAAGACTTCCCTACTTAGCCCTAAGGACTAAAACAATACTTTTTCCAGCTAAAAAACACATACTTTCTATGCTATGTACAAGAGACCTACCTAAGCGTAAAGATCCATAAAAGCTGAAAGTAAAAGGATGGAAAAAGATATATCAGGCAAATAGCTAAAAGAATGCTAAATCAACTATAGTCAGAAAACAAGAAGAGAGAGATGCAAATAAACTCCATTACAGAAAACAAAAAGAAACATAACTACAGATCCAGTGGAGTTTAGAAAGATAAAAGAATCCTATGAAGAACTTTATGCCTATAAATGTGAAAACATATACAAAATGGACCAAGTCTAAGAAAAAGTAACCTACAAATTGGCTCAAAATCAATTAGAAAACTTGAAGAAATCGTGAAGTACTAAATAAATTAAAACCGTAGTTAAAAATCTTCCTACGAAGAAAACACCAGACTCCAAATGATTTTAGAGGCAAATTCTCCAAATATTCAATGAACGAATTACTTCAATCTTATTCAAACTTTTTCCGAGAACAGAAAAAGTGAGGGAATGTTTCCAATACATTCTAGAAGGCCAGTATAGCCAAACCTTGATAGCCAAACCAAAGTATAAGAAGAAAAATTTCAGGCCAACCTCACTTATGAGTATAGATGTAAAAATATTAAACAAATATTAAACCAAATCCAGAAACAGAAATCCTGGATGGCTTAACATGAGAAAATCTATATAAATCCTTCATATATTAATAGATCAAAGAAGAAAAATCATATAGTCAACTTGATAGATGCGGAAAAGGCAGTTGGTAAAATTTAACACCCATTCATGAAAAAAAACTCTCAGCCAGTAAGACTAGAAGAAACTTCCTTAACCTGATTATGAGTATACACCAAAAAGTAAGAAGGAAACATTAAAAGCACTCCCTTTAAAATCAGGAATAATGTAAGATTCCCATTATCACCACCTGTAAATCAACATTGTACTAGAAGTCAGTGCTGTAAGACAAGAATAATTAAAGGCATATGAATCAGAAAGTCAGAAACAAAACTATTATTATTTGCAGATGAAATAATTATCTATATAGAAAACCCCAAAGTATTCACAGACCTATTATAAGCAATAGTAAGAAAGTTTAGCAAGATGCTTGGCTAAATGAACAACTGAAAAAGTCAGCAGTATTTCTATACACCAGGAAAAAAAAAAAGGCTAGGAAATACAATTTTTAAAAGACAGAACTACTACTATAGCAACAAAAACTATAAGGTACTTAGGAACAAATAT